ACGGGGAGAGTGCGCCCGTTTGGGACACTCGGTATCCTTCCGATGACCTGCCCCACTTGGCGTCGTGCATGTCCCCTTCGTCTCTGGCCGCTCTCCTTGTCTGACTTGTAAGAGGGCCATGTCACTCTCTTCTACGTCTGGGATTTGCAGGAATCACCTTTCTGTGTCCGTCCTCCGTGCGCCTTTGAATTCAAAGTGCGCCCGTGTGCACAGCACAGAGTGTGCCCGCTTCCTGTCTGATGGGACGCAGAAGAAACAAAGGTTCTAGGCCAGGTTGCGGGGCAGAGGACACCTGCTCCGGGCTCTCCCACAGCCACTGCCTGCTGTTAGGGCACTGAAGGCACAGGTCACGGGTCGGGAGAAAGGACTTGTTCCAAAGTATAAAAAGACCTCTCGATACTCCACATGTGAACAAACAGCCCTACTGAAAACCAGGCAGACGCCACCAGAGACCACGCACAGACGGCAGCCAAGCGTGTGAGCAGGTGCTCAGCGGCGTCGGTCGTTAAGGAGCCGCACATCACAGCCCCAAGATACCACGAGGCCCCTGACGACACCACAGGCTGGCCAGGATGTGGGGCCGCAGGAACTCACGTCTGCTGGCGGGGACGCGGAACGGTGTGCCACGTGGGAGGATAGTGGTGGTTTCTTAGTGAAACGTGCCATCTGACCTCTCGGTGCTGACCCAGAGGAGTAGCACACACATCGACAGGAAACCCGCTCCGGAGGCTGTGACAGCCTTCTCCACAGCTGCCGAAACCTGGGAGCGACCAAGGTGTCCGGTGGCGGCCCAGCCACACAACGGAGCATTATTCAGCAGTGGAAAGAAACGAGCTCCAGGCCACAAAGAGCCATGGAGGGACCTTAAGAGCAAAGTCCTGGTTGAAAAAAGCCTGTCGCAAAGGCCACACACCCTATGGTTCCAGCTCGGTGACGTTCTGGAAAAGGCAAAACTCTGGTGACGGTGACAGTAACAGCAATGGTTGCTGAGGGGACGGGGAAGGAGGGAGGGACAGGCGATGCAGGCACTCCGTATGGCCCTGTGGTCGTGGCTACATGTCATTTCTCATTTGTCCAAGCCACAGGAAGTGCAGACTGGGGCCACCCTCAGGTGAGCTGTGGACCCTGGGTGAGCGGTCACGCAGCTCGGAGCAGGTCACACACATGTCCCCGGCAGTGGCTGCAGCGCCTGCCCCTCCACTCCCTGCATCCACAGCACCTTCCGTCCCTGCACCCCGCACTCCCTCTCCGCCCCCGCCTAGCCACTGGCCATCCGGCGATGCTGTGTCCTGCTTCGTCACTGTGCTCAGAGCTGCTTAAAGCAGGGACTGCCGAGTCCTCGCAGGCGGTGGTGGCAGCGCGATGGGGCGTCACGAACTGGGGTCTCT